CAGCTCACCTTTAACACTGTAAAACCACCCGGGATTGGTTTCCTTTGGTTTGGTGACTTTGAAACCTCAAAGTCTGAATGTGTGTTTCAGTACACTGCAGTTTAAGGTGGATTTCTTCATTATCTGCATTCGTTTATTAGTAGTAAAAGTAGTCGTAATCTTTAGAGCAGGTAGTCAAATGCGCTTCCTTCAGATCTTTTCATAACAAATAAAAGACTTTTCTTCCTATTTTCAAGTCTGAGCTTCATCTTCTACACTCGTAAATAAGAAACACCATGTGATAATTTGATTTGCACTAAAAGAGGCGTTTAAGAGAAAAAAGGAGGTTTTTGAACCATAAATAATGCAAACACATGGTAGTAGGACACATGGATAAATATATAGACCTTGAAATGTGCATGTGAATAAACCACATTAGAGCCAAGAGCTCCAAATGCATCCCACCCTTCGCTCTAATTTGGCCCAAATGTAGCCCGACTATCTGATGTAGCATCAAAAACAATGGAGTGAAACCCGCACTTGTCCTCAGTTCACTTGTCAGAGACTCGTTTTCAGTTGGCAAATCCCAGCCGTGACTAAACCGAACTAATGAAGAGGTTTGGGCGGCATTGTTTCATGCATTCCCAGTTTATTGTAGAAAACACTGGAAGAGATTGTCTCATTTTCTAAGCACGCCGTTATCTAATCTTACAACAATAATAATAATAATGCAACGCCCAGTTTGTCCAAACCAAACCTCCATGAAGAGACTATCTGGGCCAATATTTCAAACCAGATCCAATTATTTCAGCCCTTTTGTTATCTCTCAGCTGCAGACATCTGGACGGTCTTTTGGTATTCCAAAGCGTGCCCATGCAGGACTACGCTGGCAGCTCCACACTGAAATTAAAGATGCTCTCCAGCGGCTATTATCGGCGGCATTCTGCAGGCGTTCATTAACGTTTCAGTGCTGCTCTGACATCCACTCACTGCCACTTTCTCTCCTGTGAAATCCAACACGATCCGGAGCAACGGCTCTGCCACGGATTCTCATGAAATGTCATAAAGGCTGTCGTAAAAGGTGATGATTTTACTTTTCATTGGGGTCAAAGTACGTGTTGATTGCGTTACTTTTAAGACTTTTCCTGTTATTTCGTCCCCTCAAGTATGCTAGCGGACCTCGATAAACAAAAAGTAGAATTATCGCCTTTTTAACAACATCATCAAAGCCTTTAAAACCCAACGTCCTGGTGAAAGTGGAATTTATGGCAGAGCTTTTATGTCAGATTTCATTAGATTTCCCATGTGTTCTGAATAAACATGTTTAAAAGAGGGTTATTTGTGTTTGTTTTTCAAATGCAAGGTCTTTTTTTTTTTTTTTTTGGCCTAACTCTGCAAATTATAAAAAAACAAATCTGTGGAAAATATGTTCTCATCGTTACCATCCAACACAACAAAGCTTCTGAATTCTTTCCACGATCCACCTTTGAAATTTACAGGCCCGCTTACACTGCAAATCATCCTGACGGGAGGAAAACAATCAATCTAATGCACAAACCACTTGTACCAACAGATTTTTAAGAGCTCGGGAGGCTTTGAGAGAACGAGTGCTCCGCGTGGATTCTTCTTCTGCTCCGAGTTTTTTTTCCCAGAAGGATAAGACGAGTTGATCCACAGGGCAAAACGCTGCACGTAGACATATGAATGAATTATATCCCCAGACTTCATCATTTGTATTTTGCTCATGGTGAAATCATCGTGACTTACTGGTTTAGTTTGGATTTCACAAGCAAACTTTGGAAAAATTCTCTCACTTCAACTTCTGCGAGCTTTAGTTATATAGATATCCGCCCTCATGGACTTTAGTTTGGTTTAAAAAGACCCGTTTCCTCTTTATTTCTGCCAGAATTCACTCATTGCATTGGGTCTGGAACCAGCAACGCAGGCCTGTTTATGGATACAAGTCTGCTTAGGATGCAGAAATGTTCTTGCACGAACTGGCAAATGTTTATTTTTCTTTTCTTTTCTGTTTTTCTTTTCCCCAGATGAACTTGTTAGCGAAGTGGCTCTTCACTCTCTTGTTTTTCTTTGCAGTAGTTTTTCTCACCTGTCTGTTTTTTACTGAGGTCAGCACAACTGCAGCTTTGTTTTTCTGGTTTCTTTTCATTTCTTTCTTAAACTAAAACAACTGAGGATTGTGAAAGTGAAGCGGAGCAGTAAAGCAGTGGCCTTGAAACCAAAACAGTCGATCGTTTTTGTAGAAATATTGATTGCAGCTGCTTATTATGACAGTGTTTACGACGACATCCACCGCAGTCGTGAAGTTCAGGGGTTAAAACAGCTTTAAGGCTTTAAAGGCTCCTTGATTGCTGAAGTGCTTATGCAGGAATGACTGGCATGTTGTTGTGATATTTCAAAGAGAGCTGAGGTTCTTGTGTGAAGTGGTTCAGATCACACGCTGTGATATCGGTTTACCTCCACGACTCGGCAGGTGACTACTGTCTTAAAGCAAACACGTCACTTCTGTCATCGTGTCCGCCCCGAACCCAACCGCTGTCCCGACAAAGCTGGAAGTTTCATCGAGGAGCATTGCTTCGAGGAGGTGAAACGGAGGTAAAAGTCTCCCAGAGGGACTGATGTCAGATAAGTAGTGACTCCAGCGGCGCTAATGTGCCGCTAAATACGAACGTTGTCAATCTCTGCCAAAGCGGCGATTAGTTAACTATGAAAAACACACAGCGAGCGTTTGGGTTCAAAGATCAGGCTGAAGATCTGAACAGTCCCTAAAGGGAAGACTTCATAACTACCTCCTCAATGAAGTGTTGTGGAATTCAAAAGAGGTTCTCTCACCGTGTATTTGTCCCATTTCTTCTCGGGGTCGTAGGGCTCCCAGCGACTGGCGGGGAAGATGTGCTTGTTCTTCTCGTACCAGCTCCTCAGCACCACTTTACCTGCGTGAGACTTCAGACCAAACAGCGACGGCTTTGTTTAACACCGACGGGTTCATCCTGGATGCTAAACCTCCAATACATCAGCTGGTGTTTACATCTGAATATTAAGCATTTAATAAGTTTTAAATATGCCGTGTGTATGAATGCATGGACAACTGATTTATCCCCTTTGGGGAAGTTCAAGAGCAACTTTCTGAAAATCCCTCCTCCGGCTATGTGCACAAAAACGATTCTCCTTCTTCAAAACAATCAAAGACCCGTGTGGCTCCGCTCTCAGCAGCCCCGTCCTATTACAAAATTATATAAATGAGGTTGTTAAACATTCTCAAATCGTCCACAAACCTCAAGTGCAAGAAGTCATCTTACTACAGAACTGTAAACACTTCTTTTAACTCCTCTTAAATCAGCGTCGATTAAACTCGTTTTACCGTAACTGCATTTTAATTGTTAAACAATTCTACAGCTTCGTTATGCAGACGTACATCTGAGGGCGGATACAAGACAAGCAAGGATCTAGTCAGGAGAAAACAACCTGGATAAGTGTGACAGGGCCTTGATGCCATGAGCAGGGTAAGTGTAAAGGTGTAAAACATCAACTTAGGCTCCTACAGTAATTATTTGGACCATCTGCTGTTCGGTTTTAATGTTTACACGTCATAAGAACAACTTCAACACACATTATTTCATCTGTATTCCATCAGACTGGTTTCAGAACCGCAGAAATGTCAAAAAGACGCGAAAAGGCCTGAAAATAATTCAACACATGCAAGAAATTCTGCTCAAAAATAGACGAAAAATGGGAACTAAATGGCAGAAAACGCTTTTTTTAAACTTTGTGCATAAGCACAAGTCAGCAGATAATCCAACTTATCACTAATCACACCGAAAAGACGAGAAGACTGATAGCTTGGCGCCTAATTAAGAAGGATATAACGAGAGAGGAACAACCACAAAACCAGCCTGGAATCAGCAAAACAGCTCTTTGTTACAACCTTAAAACCAAAGTGCAGTACGGTTCCTCCAAGAACCGCGAAGAAAAGGCCAAAAAACGTTGGTCCCGGTGGTCTAATCAGAACTATTTTCAAAGTTTTAGGTGTTCAGTTGTTTTAAAAGTTGGAACCTTTAGTGTCACTTTGCCTACAGACACAGTCTTCAGCCTTCTGGAAGAATTTAAAGCCTTTTGAAGACATTTAACTGTGAAAATTCAGCAAACAGGAAACCGCAGTGGGTTGAATTCTTCTCCCGCCAGTGCAGGAAGAGTTTAATGATACTGAGCGAGCTTCTGTCTTTGGGAACAAACAGCAGGCAGCGAAGAGGCGGGTGACGCTAACGGGAGGGTTGAATTGGCAGCGATGCATCGACGTGGCATTCCTGCGCTTCCATCAGCGAGTGTTGGCACCGACAGCGGCCCGACAAGTCGGCAGGGAGCGACGCATTTCAGCTCAGGAGCGGCTCAACTGAACACGTGGTGCGCTAATGTGAGCGTCGAGACAATTAGCTCGCAGCTAGCTGGTTTGAAAAGCCGTAAACAAGTCAGTCTGTATTTCAGTGACGCTAACTTGTAGTCGACTAGGAGGTAAATTTAGACAACAGCTTAAGTAAAAGAAATCTTAAACCTGACGTCTGTTTTTCAACACAATAAATTCAATTTAGAGACGATCTGCTGAGCGCTAATCGAGTCACTTCTCCATCAGTAAACTCCTCACCTCGTCTTTCTCCACCGTGGCGTCGTTCACCAGTCGGATGTCGTCGTGGACGTCAAAGCTGAACAGAGGCCCTGAGGGGAGGGAAGGATGAACAGAGTCAAAGAGCAGGAAACGAGGAAGCTAAGAACTTAATCGCATAATTATGAGAAGACAATGTCGTGTGCAACAGACTGATGGGGCGAGAAACGGAGCTGGACTCTTTGTGTTTGTGATGTGTTGATAATTGTCCGTACAGATGCAACAAAAAGCTCATTTTCTGCACCTGATTTTCTAAAATTTCACCAAAGTAAAAAGCAGGAATCCTGTTGCTGAGCACAGCTGTTTGCACAACAACTAAACGCTTCATCACACAAAAAGCTAATATTTTGTTCACCCAATTGACAACAGTCTTAGCTCGCGGTGCTGAATTGTCAAAGTGGGATTTACGGCGGAGCTGTTTATATCAGATCGCACCGGGACTTCCAACGTTGTGCAGAAACCAAAACAAGAACCTGTCAGCCACCCTGGAAGGTGTTGACGATGCTCACTCACCAGATTTGCCTCTGGCTTTGGTTACGATGAAGTCGTAAAAACTGTGGTGCTGAACGAGACAAAGACAAAGAAAAACATCACAACTCACAGCAGATCGAGGACACGAAGACACAAGATTAAGAGAACTTTTGCTTTTTTCGTTGCAGATCTGATGTGTTGCAATCTTTAAGTGAAAACAAAACACAAAGTGAAGCGGCGGCGTGACGGCGCTCACGTGTGGGATGATCAGATCCTCTTTGATGTACATCAGCTGCTCTACTCCAGCAGACCTGCACAGAGGAGACATCGATGTGAGCAGAAACGCAGCGCAGCACTTTAAAGCTTCTCTATGTGAGAACTGAACATGTGGCGACACCGAGTGGCAGCATCGAGGAAGAACACAGGACGGCTTAAAGGAGGTGAAAATCCTCTTTCATTGTGTGTCTTTAAAACTTGGGAGCTGTAAAAATTAAAGCTGCTCCACCACAACTAGACGACCTCCCGGAGCGGATCGCTGCTCGGTTTCTAAGTAGAGTAAAATCTGTGGAGCTGAAAATCGGTGACAGCATCCAGAAGGAGCAACAGTGTTCGGCCTATTTAAAGCCACACGAAGCATATTTTAATGTAATATCGCTCCTGTTTTGTGTGAAAAGAGTCGAATTAACTGTAAGAGTTTGCTTTAGTTCCCTGTAAGTCTGCTCTCAAACAACAGAAGGAACGTCTGAACTCACCTGAGCTCGCTGAAGTCCTTCCTGAGGACTTCCAGAGCTCTCTGCAGGAAGTTCTGGATGGTGTTGCCCTTCTTCATCTGCAGGAGAAGCAAACAAGATCCAGATTTAATGGAAACATGAGGAGAAAGCTGAACGGCGTGCTGCGTCTCCCAGCTCACCTTGACGGTTTTACGATGTCCAGAGCCGTCCCAGTAACTGAACGTGATCTCGATCTCCTCGCCTGAAGACGAACGTCAAGAGAAAAGAGCAGAAAAACGGGACTGCAGACATGAAAAGACTCAAGGATGGGATGTTAAAGCAGAAGCATGGACTGTATTTTAGCTCACTCTTGATCTTCTCCTGTTTGAGCTCCCACTCCTGCCGAAGCTCCTCTCTGAGGCGATTCTCTTCCTCCTGAACAAGAGACAAAGTCGTGAAAATGTTTATTCTTGCAGCTGCTTCCAGTCTTTATGCTAACGCTAAGCTAACCCAGGGCTGCAGATTCACATTTGATGAATCTGAGTGGCGTTAAAGACGCAGGTTTCCCAACATGATGAACTGCTTCTTTAAGGTTTATAAAATATTGGGGATACGGAGCAACAACACACTGATTATTAGGTACGCTGAGAAAGCATCTAAGTGAGAAACTAACCAACCAAATACTTCTACATTCACATAAAACGTTGTATCTTGATGCAAAAACAACAGAAGCTTTACTACACTACACTCAGATGACATTTGAAACCGGACCTGTTGACAGACAGTGAAGCAACTTCACCTCCGTATGAACATCAAACCGTAGCCAACAGACTCCACCAGCAACACGAGTTACATGGAAAAGGTTTAGTCTGGTGAGTCTCTTATCAATCAGCGACTTTCCGATGTGCTGCCAACACGTCTGGTGTTGACAGCTCATCCAGGCAACCCGGTATTCACTACGTGCTCTAACTATGTTCTGTTATTGCTGCCAATAACAGATATTTAATCTAAAGCAAACTATTTAGCTTCATTTTACTCTGACAAACTGAATGTCAAATGCAGAGTTCAACTTAAAACTCCAACATTTTTAAAATAACATTTAGAAAGTCTGATTATTATTATTATTTAAGTCATTTATGCTACCCCCAAAAAACCATTATGAGTAATCGTTGTCTGACTTTGGTCGTAAATTCATATTCTGTGGAAACTGAAGGTACAGTTTTAAACTCGTGTGTTCATGAGCAGCAGCTTGAAGCGGCCGCCGGGTAACATTTAGTCCTGTTGTCAATCCTCCATTTATTATTCGTGCCACTGTCTGACAGCAGAAACAGAAATATGTGTAAATGAGCAGGTTTACGGAGCATTTTGCTGCTTTAGCATCCAGTGTGTTATGAGCACAGGGACAAGGAGAGAAGTTCACACATGTAAAGAGTCTTTAAAAACAAAGGTTCTTGTGTATTCTGAAATAAGCTGCAGTTTACAAACCACCTTGTAGTTCTCTGATAATTCTGTGAGAACTTTCAAAGCACTGGGAGAGTTTAACATTAATTTATTATACAGAGATAGAGAAGAAAAATGTGTTTTAATGAAGCAAAGTTAAATAAAAAAAAAAACATGCCTCAATTGAAAATATTGACTTTCAGCAAGAGCGTTACGAATTATAGCGACTAAATTGTTGCATCTCTAGTTTGGTCGGTGTGTTGTTCTGCAGACGAAGCAGAGTTTTAAAGCATTTTGCAGCTCAGTTTGCAGATCAGCTGAAAACGTCTCTGGAGCTACGTGTGAAATACAACTTAATACATCCCTGAAGTATAGAGCGTTATGCCTTAAAAACAGCCTTCGATAAGCATCGTTCACGTCGACCTCACCTCTCTGTCTCGATCGGGAAGGAAACTCGTGTCCACGTCTGGATTCTTCCCAAGTTTTTTCTTCTTTACTGGTTCATCTACAAGAGAACGAATCGTTATACGACGTGTTGCAGCTCATTGGTCGATAAATAAGTCCATCCATCATCTCTACACCTTAATCCTCACTAGGGGGGCGGAGTCTATCCCAGCTGACTCAGGGTGAAGGCAGGTTCACCTGGACAGGTAACCAGTCTATCACAGGGCTACACTTAGAGACAGACAACCAAGCACACTCACATTCACACCTACGGACAATTTACAATCACCAATTAACCTCAGCATGTTTCTGGACTGTGGGAGGAAGCCGGAGAACCCGGAGAGAACCCACGCTGCACGGGGAGAACATGGAGACTCCACGCAGGAAGATCCCGGGTGTCCTCACCGGGACGCGAACCACCGACCTTCTAGCTGTGAGGCTAGACCACCAAGCAACCTCGCAGGTCATTAAGTGCAAAATTTTAAAGCGAATAAAGAAAAAGATGCTGCGATTCAGCTTGATGGAGCCGAAGTTTATGTCCAGGATGCTTTCATGAACACAGACTGATCTGGTTGAAGACTTCTGGTGGATTTCTGAACATCATTTTTCAGACTTACTAGCAGGCTGCTCATGCTATGTAGCAACATTAGCACACTGCTAGCTGCTTCCAGTGTTTACGCTCATGCTACCATCTCCTGTGGATGCATATGCAGATATAAGTGGGATTAAACTTGATAAGACAGTAGCTTTAACTTTTCCTTAAAGCTCTATAAACTGCTGCTGATGTGAAATACTCACAATACACTGATCGTGTCCAGTGAAAAAGCTTTAAAGCAAGAAGTTAACCAATCAAATACGAGGAATCTGGATTTCCCCATAAAAAAAATCTGCTGCAAAACCCTGCTGAAGTGTTCATGTTTTCAATTTAGTAAAACATTTCTGATTTATTCTGACAGACACATTAAAGGAAGAATTTTCACACCAAACACACACAAATCTAAATGAGGAGGAGGAAGAGTTTCTGCTTTAATATTCCCAAAACACCGACCACTTACAATCCGGCTCTTCCTCTTCATCCTCTTCCTCCTCCTCCTCGTCTTCGGGGTTGAACGATAAGCTGGCTATTTTCCTCTTCTGCTCCTCCTTCCTCTTCTTCTCTTTCTGCTTCTCGAGCTTCCTGCGAGCAGAGGTCATAAATAATGAGCCGTCACGAAAAACTAAAAGGTTTCCAGTGAAAGCAAAAGATCTCAACAGCGAGCCGGCGCCAATGAAAACAAGCTGCTGTCGACACCTGGTATCGATAGATTCTGTGGGACGAGTCGGGCCGGGCACCACTTAAGGGCATAACATCATTTGAACTTTTGGGAATCCTGTTTAGTTTGCTTTTCTTTCAACGTGATACCAACATTTCATGACAGCTTCCATGGAAAGAGAAGAACATTAATCCTCCTCCGTCAACACCGGATCGTTTCCTTAAAAGCATATCCAGTTACTGACACCTATTGATTGAAATGGGCTCAAAGCTGTCATGTAGTTCAGATATTTTGTCAAAACAGAGAGAATTATTAGCACGGGAGCGTTCCATTTGGATTTGTGCATGTTACTGCTGGTTACCGTTTTATTATTTCATGTTTGCTTCACATGCAAACAACCGCTGAGACTTTGCTGCATGACTACCTCTTATATTTTATAACATCGCTGTGTCACGTATGCCTTTTTAACTCTAGTGCACCAAGCAGCAGGTTTCCATTTCCTCTCGTCATGAGCACGTTAGCAGTAGGTGTTTGATCTGTGACGTTACGGAGGTCACGGAGGAGCAGGAGGTCATCTCAGAGGTCACGAATCAAGAACAGGAGCTTCCTCGTTATCAGAGCGGGCCGCGTCGTGAAATACACGATCCACAGGCGGCCGACTTCCAGGTGGAGGACTCCAGAAAGACCAGAAAACAACAAATGCTTTCGAACTCAACGCTGCACTTTGTCGGGTCCCCAGAAATAAACCCGCCGAGTCTGAATTAAATCGAATAAGATGAAAAACAACTTTAGAATTCCCAAAGGAAAGTCTTGTGCAAGATGTAGGACTGTTTATTTCAGGAAATTTTTATTCCCCAATGTCTATCTATTTATTATAGCACTGTGCTGTTGTTATACACCACGGTTTATTTTATATTCTCCTAAATTTAGGCGAATTTATGATTCGTCTGTTTTTACTTTGCTGCCGTCTGAAGCTGGATTTTGAAAAGTTTTCCATAAATATATATTATTATTGTTGTGTGTCATTATGTACTAATAGATGTACTAAAAAGTAGAAAAGCAGTAAGATGTAAATAGGATATATGACTGAAATAAAATAAGTCAACTAAAATAAGACTAGAACAGAAAGTAAAAAGTAAAGCTGGTTATTACACCGAGGTCATGATGAGTGATGTCACACATGATAATTAAACACTGCACCTAAAAAACTGAGATGAAAATTAAATACTGCACATGACATCGACAACGTTGTAAATAAAAGTGAAATATTGCACGTTAACGCTTTAAACCCCATCAGAGCGCCGCCGCTCACGTGCTCTATAAATTACCGTAACTCTGAGTTCTGAAAGAAGATGAACTTTACGGTGCTATTCGATGTATTACGGTAGCACGGTATTCTGAACACAGACAGAAGAAATCCACCTACACTTCACCATGTGGGCTTCACGTTACTGTAACTCCTCGACCATGTGAGCAGGAGAGGAAAAAGGGTCAAAACCGTTCAGTCATAGTCGGATTTCTGACCCCTTTACAGCCAAAATAAGAAAAAGAAAAAGTCCAGGCGCCCTGTGTGAAACTTGGAGGAACGATAAACAAGATACTCAAACTAAAACTACTGAGAAAGTAACGCTGTCCGATGTCATTGTTTAGATTCGAGTGTCTGATGTCAGTCCAGCAGAAATAAGGAGCCGAAGTTCTCAAGACAAGCGGAGACACAAACGAACAGACGACATTTAAACTGCAGGTTGCATCAAAGCAGCTTCTAAGCGATGGAAGGTGATAACAAACAGAAACGCTACGACTCACAGCTGGAGCTCCTTGGACTGCTCCTTCTTGGCCAGCTGCTTCTCCCTCTCCTTCACCAGAGCCTCCTGCTTGGCCTTCATGTCGTTCAGCGTCACCAGACCTGACCGAGGCACGAGAGACAAAGACGATCAGGTACGAGTCACGCCGACGTTTCCTCCTCTCGGGTTGTGGAGACACTCACCCACGGTGCTGGACTTCAGCTCGGCCTCCACGGCGTCGTAGTGAGCCGAGAACTTCTTGTCGATGTTGGACTTCACCATGTTGTCCTGCCAGGAAACAGACACAGGGTCACTTTGTGACTCACAAGTTATGGTTTTAAGGGTTTATTTTATCTAAAACACGACTTTCTGTCAAAGGACTTTAAAGCTTTAGCTTTAAAGCTTTACTCCACAGAAGTTGAACTTTGGAGAAAACAAATCATAGTTTTAAAGGTTATTCCACTAAAAACTACTACTTTCTATCCTAATATGTGTTTTTTTAAAGGCTTATTCCACCCAAAATACTACTTTTTGTCACAGAACTTGTTTCTTTAAGGGAAAATAGTTCTTTCTAACTTAAAAGTTGTCTGTAAAGTTTTGTTTTGAAGCTGTATTCCACCTAAGTCAAACTTTCCCAAAAGAAAATACTATTTTCTGTCTATATACTTAAAGTTCTCAATGTTTATTCCACCATATTAGGGCTTTATCACTAATAAGTTATTGTTTTAAGGGTTTATTCCACCATAAATACTACTTCCTGTCCTCGTGGGTATAGTTTTAAAGGCTTATTTCAGTCAAAATACTACGTCCTGACCTAGTACTTACAGTTTTAAAGGTTTATTTTAGACATATAATACTTTCTAGCACGCAAATTATAGTTTTAAGGGTTTGTTCCACCATAAATACTACTTCCTGTCCTCGTGGGTATAGTTTTAAATGCTTATTTTACCCATATAATATTTTCTAGCAAACAAGATAGAGTTTTATCGGTATATTCCACGCAAAATACTACTTTATAAAGTAGTAGTTACAGTGTTAAATACTTGTTCCACCCAAATAGTACTTCCTAACTGATCATTTATGGATTTTAAAGGTGTATTCCACCTGAAATACTACTTTCTGTCACAGTAATAGTACATAGCATAGTTTTAAAAGCTTGTTTCACCCATGTAGTACTTTCTAGCAAACAACTTATGGTTTTAAGAGTTTATTCCACCCAAAGTACTACTTTGTATCCTAGTATTTCAAATGTTAAAGGCTTATTTTACACATATAATACTTTCTAGCAAACAAGATATAGTTTTAAGGGTTTGTTCCAGCTAAAATACAACTTTATTTCCTAGTATTTTTAGTTTTAAAGGCTCATTCCAGCCAAATTAACTAACAAGTTAAGGTTTTGAAAAGGTATTTTCCCACTAAAATGCCACTTTTTGTCACAGTACTTATAGTTTTAAATGCTTGTTTTACCCACATAGTTTTTTCTAGCCAACAAGTCATGGTTTTAGGGGTTTATTCCACCCAAAATACTACTTTATAAAGTACTACTTACAGTGTTAAATACTTGATCCACCCAAATACTACTTCCTAACTGACCATTTATGGATTTTAAAGGTATATTCCACCTAAAATACTACTTTCTGTTATAGTACTTATAGTTTTAAAGGCTTCTTTCACCCATATAATACTTTCTAGCAAACAACTTATGATTTTAAGGGTTTATTCAACATAAAATATGACTTTCTTTCCCAGTATTTATAGTTTTACAGGCTCAAGTTATAGTTTACGTTTTATTTCACCCAGAAGCCTACTTACTTGTCACAGTACTTAGATTTAAAGGCTTATTCCACCCAAATACTACTTCCTAACAAAGAAATTAGGAGCTTAAAGTTTTATTTCACCTACAAACGTGCACAGTTCTGGTTTTGTTAGTGTCTGAGGGCGACAAAAGTTCGCTCCTGTCTGTGTTTTTAATGACTGGTCGCCATGTTTTCTGGCCCAGAACAGAGTGAAGTTAAAACAAGGCTCCTTTCCTTCACCATCAGCAGGTTACAGCCGACACCAGGTGGATATTTCAACACGAGAGCTGCAGTATGTCGCGGTAACTAAACGCTAAACCGCCACCGACCTCCGCTATCTTCTGCTTCAGCTGCTCCAGCTGCTCTCGCTCCTTCTCTCGCTTCTTCATCAGCTGCATCGCCCTGCCGGCCTCGCTGGCGGCTCCTTTGTACTGAGCCATGACTAGTTTTATTTATTAACAGTTTAGAGTCACAACTAAATGTGGAAAAAGTTCAATTAACGCCAACAGAGAAGATAAATCCCGGAATCTTGTCCAGAGCTGAGGAGACACCGCTCACTTCAGCGCATCACAACAAGAAAAATGGCGACGGCGGCGAAGTGCATGCTGGGTAGCTGCTATGTGTGGTGCCTTCAGGGAACCTCGGAATTATGACAAATAGCAAATATTTATTTGTGCTCGACGTTATAGCAGAAAGACGTTTAATTTACGATTAAATAAACACACGAATAAGCTATGCTATCACATAAATAAATAATGCGGTGGGATAAATAATTATTACTGTAAAATCTCTCAAATAAATCAATTCTAAATACTACTACGAATAATAATATTCTTTATAGAGAGAGAACTGGTCAAATTTCAGGTTGCAAAGGGCTTCACGAGGCAGCAAAATAAAACTGACGAGTCATAAAATCGTCAAAATTTAGAGACAGAAAAAAGCACAACATGGTTACAATAATAATAATAATAATAATAATAATAATAATAATAATAATTTATGATATTAATTCATTTGGTATTGGGAAATAAACATTTCCTGAAAAAAATGAAAAAAGTTCTTCAAACAAAAAAACTCTTTAAAATTGAAATCAATGTATTTAATTATTACATTTGTTTATAATAATATATTAGAATATTATGTTTATATTAAATACATTGATTTTTATTTTTAAAGGGATACATACATATATTTATGTAGCCTCATTTATTTATTTATCTATTTACTTCAGAATTTATTACATTACACATTTGTTCATTTGATAGGAATATTTATTATTTGAAAGGAATATTTGTTTGTTTGTTTATTTGTTTGTTTTGCATTGATTAAAACAACACTACATAGATTATAGTAATTTTTACCAGTTGAACTAGATTTAAAGGACCAATTCAACTCGTTTACTGCAGATTCTAAAAAGTGATCGCAGCACCTACATTGTGACTAAATATTAATACATTACATATATTAATATTTGAACATTAAATATTCGTGCAAAAAAAAAAAACATTCACAGGTTTGCAAATATTACTCTATAAAAATTTCAGCCCCGACATTTCTTGACCTTTTGACTGATTAGACTTTATTCTGTCACTTAACATTTGGTAAAAAAAAAACAAAAAAACAACAACAAACAAACAAACAAACAAACAAACAAACAAACAAACAAAACAAAGATGTTTGAGAAACTTCCTTTATTTATACAACTGGATACAATTTTCTTACAAATACAACTGAAGTGAGTCTAAAATCAACAGGATTTACAACAATATTCATCACTATATATATCATAATATCATCATATTTGTATTATTATAGACAATAATGGTACAAATTAAAAAATACAAACTGGCTTTACATGTGGAAATCATATCAAATAAGACGAGATTAGCAGGTTGCAGAGTTACATAAAAAAGAAAAACTAAAACAAAAAGACATGCAATTGTCCACATAATCCTCTTTTCTCACTCAGTCAGTCACACCGGCTCACTCATTCATACAGCGTCTTTGTCTCTCATCTGACTCCAGTCCTTGGTCGACAGCGAAACGGCGATTTGGCTGCAGCAGAGAGCGAGAGACGAGCAGAACGGAGAGATGAAAACGTTCACGGCACAAAAACACAACGAGCGAAGGCAGGGGAGGAAGGTGTTGCTCAGCTGGACGCAGGGAACCAGAAACCTGCAGAGCATAAATGAAGAGTTCAAAAAAGAGACTGTGGCTCTTTTATTTTATTTTTTGCAGACTATGTGAGCAAATAAAGATTGCTGAGAGTGTGAAACATTGTGAGGCCAGCTGAGGTCAACAGCGTCTCGTTTCTGAAGGTTGAGTTGAACGTGTGAGCGCTCGTGAAGCAGCTCTACGTCGTGTTTAAGGTCACAAATCGCTCAGAAGTGCAAACTAAAGCCTCTTCGACGCCCTCGATCAGGAATAAAGCTTCAGAAATGAGTGCAATGGGGAAAAAAACAGCAAGAACTGAGGCAGTCAAATACAGAAACCTTTGACACTTTGGGAAAGACACACATTGGCTAGATTTGCAGCGTCACCAACAATTCTCTGTTTCAGTTCGATTTATTTGAACGTTCTGAAGGCCACAAGTTTAAATGTGTTGGTCTGACACTCAAGTTATTGTTTATACTGTTCAGGAAAAAGTTCTAAGTGTTGTCAAAGACTTTTTTCTTTTCTGTGTACTTTGGAAGTTGTGACAGAAATCACTGCTCTGCTTGTACAATCAGCTGCTGCTTAGCTTAGCTTAGCTTAGCTTAGCTTAGCGTAGGTTAGCTTAGTGTAGCGTAGCTTAGCATAGCATCGATGACAACATCCACCCAGCAGCAGCAGCTTTAAAGTTTGCTAAAGTGTAATAAATACACTCAGCGGGAGTTTTAAGGAGATTTTCCTCATAGGAAGAATAAAAGTTCCATAAAATAAATAAAAATAGTCCTTTAAAAAAAATACCCCTTTAGAAATAAAAATCAACATATTTAATTAGTACATTTGTTTATTTATGTATATTCATTGCCTCATTTGTTTATGTCATAATTTATTACATTGTCATATTTGTAAACATGATATTTATTCATTTATTTGTTTGTTTGTTTGTTTTACGTTGGATAAAACAGCACTACATAGATTTTAGCTAAACCGGTAATTGTTTAACTTAATTTAATCATTAATTTTCTGGAGTTCCTGCGAAATACGTCACGTTCGTTAACGAGCTGGTACGTTAACTTGTGAATTATTATTATTACTGTTATAACGAATTAACTCCAGATTATTTAATTGTGTTCATATTTGCATTGTTATGTGCAGATACAGAGTGATATCAGTCTTTTAGGTGTCATTTTCTACAAAAAAAACCCCCAAAAACATAAACAAAGACGTGTCGAATGGCAACTTTAAACACAAATGAGACACAATATAAAGACTCTGTTGTAATAAACTGAGTTTTCTTGGTCCATTCCTTCAAAATAAAACTTGGCTCTCAGTGTTTCTGCTTCATCTGAGCAGACGGGGAGGATCAGAGAAGTGTGACGCTGTTATCTGAGATTATTACTCCAACCCTTTAAAACTCATCTGGTATGAATGAGCCCTAAAATAAATTATAGGAACAACTGCTGATCTGCGGATCGGCGCCCCACGAAGAAATCTCAAGACAATTATCATTAACAGAATAGAAAAGCTTTTAAAAAAAAAAAAAGGCAGTTAGTTGAACAGAATCAGACGGATAAGATAACGTTTGTCCTGTGAATTAGCGGATCATTTTAGCCTCTGAGCTGGAGCAGTTTTTCAAATAAATTAGGCTTTAGGGTAATTTGCTGTCAGAAATTGAATATGGGATTCATAATTACGGCTTCATTCATGTAGAATCACATAAAAATGAGACTTTTTGTGTTTTCAGTACCTTAGAATGAGTCTGTTTTGTCGTCATTACCATGTTTTTACTGGAAGAAACCAAACACTGGCTCTGTAGACGGTCTTCTTGCATTTTAACTTTGACTTACAGCTGCCTTAAAGATTGCTAAATCCAACATACCGGACTTTTAATTGATCAGTGATTCAGATGAAACATGATTTATGATCGATTAAGTCATTTTTCAATGAACAAACATCCAAAACATTGCTGCTTCTTAAATGCAAACACATCCCGAACATCTCTTCTGTCTTCTATCGTTTTAAACTCTTTGGGTCTTGAACTATCAAACAGAATCTTTTCCGCTGTTACGTGACATTCATTGACTAAAATAGAAATCAGAACAACTCTAAGCTGATGAGTGAACAGTGCAAATGATCACAGAGTTCAGCCTGAAACTAAACCTGCAGACGTATCTGTTTGTGATTATTATGAGTACAGTCGGGTATTTTCTGTGATGATTTCTTATTTCACACGAAGGAGCTTTGTAGCTTTCCACGGACGTACCAGACATGCAGGCAGGCGAGGACGGCCACGAAGACGCCGCACAGGAAAGCGAAGGGAACGGCGAACAGCAAGGAGAGGCATCGGTACGACCAGATACGAGTCTTCTCGAAGCCGGTGACGCTGTAAATCCACACTCGGTCGATGCTGTGAGGCGAGGCGGGTTCTGCCAGAACGTCACTGACCTCCACCTGCAGACGAGAAGGCAAGAGCTCAGTTTGTTTACAGACGATGTACATCTATTTATAAGGTGTTGCCTAGCAGCCACACGCAAGTTGGGAACCCCAAAATTTATACCAACGCCTTCAAATTTGACACTGCACTTTGTCGGGTCCCCGACGACAAGCACACCAAGTTTGAAGTCGACCGGATGCACAGGTGTTGAGAAAATTGTGAAATAAACACACAAATACACAGACGGAGATTCCTTAATTTAAGGCTAATGTTTGTCTCTGATGATTTCTCTGCATGGGTGATTTTAGATCGCAGGTGTTGTTGTTATTGTGCCTTTTTCTGCTGCAGTGCACAAGAGAAGGAGATAAACAAGCGTCATTAGCAAAAACTGTGTGATTAGCATTAGCTTGTGAGCTGGCTGGCTAGATTAGCAGCTAAAGGTTAAAAAAAAAAAAATGCCTCAAAAATAATACAATAATGTGGTGTGTGAATGAAGTATGAATTTTGTTCAAATACTAAATAGTTTTTTGTTTCAGAGCTGGCATCCAGACTCTAAAGACGATTTGTTTTACAACTAGTGAAACAATTAGGAGGAGTTCTGCCTCATTTAGCTCCAAAAAGATAAATTATTATTAAATATCACACTGGCACCATGAAGACTACTCATGATTTATAAAGTTTTCTTGATCGATTTGATGTCATTTCTCTTTTCGCTTATTCAAACTCGTTAGGAAGTTCAGGGATCAGAGCGCTCAAAGACTGAACCACTGATGAATGAGGAGCCAGCAGACAGCAGTTCATCCTGAAACCTGACCAGAATTAGTCTAAAACGTTGTCTGGGATGTTTCAGAGCCACTCAGGAGCTACCAGCTGTTCTGGAAACGAAGAGAAAAAGGGAACGAGGACCTTTAGGTGCTGGTTGATGTTGTTGGGGTCCCTGCTGACAGGTGGGCTGGATTCAGGTGTGGGAGGAGCCACTGGAGGCGGCGTCGGCGTCGGAGCTTTGGGAGCCGGAGTCGGAGCTTTGGACGCAAACTCTGGAGGAGGAGGAGGAGTGTTCATCTGCTGCCCGTCGTCCTCGTCGCTGTCGTCGATCTTGCACTCCACCAGGCAGTCGTCGCTCACCATCATCATGCTGCTGACGGAAGAGGCCACGAGGTCGCTTCCTGCCGAACACAATCGAGCTTTAACGTCGACCCACTGACACACTAACACTCCTATAAACCCCTCCAGCAGGTTGCAGGCGTGCGAAGCGTAACAGCGAGCTCCGGCCTCGAGGCTGCCACCTGTTCTTCAGCCCTCCCCCAAAAAAAGAAGCCATGCCGAAATCTGTAAATAGCAGCTGGTAATTTTAAGACGACATTTTTAAAATGAAACTCGTCCCCTCGGTGTTCCGAGCAAAGCTGCATCTAGTCCAGACACTTTGGTGGAGTTCAATCCTGTCTGAGGGTTTGATTCAAAGACTGTTTGCATACACATGTTGCAGAACCGGTGCAGAATGTGCAGCTCCTGAGCTTGTGGAGGAATCATCCCAGCAGATGCACAACAGGTACAACAGCAGCAGCATGAGTGACAGATCAGGCCTGACCTACCTTCCTTAAAGCGCTATCTTAATCCTGTATCAGCGCCAGAGAGCAGTGCAGGCAGAAGAGGCTGTGGAGTCCTACAGAGTGATAATCTAAAATGTCAATGAGATAAGTTCAGCAGCCTCCCGACAGCGTCCCTCAGAGCGTCGACCCTTCATTTGCAGCACATAGAGACACCTCCAGTGACTTAGAGTGACGGAGGTGCTAATGTGGTTCAGCGCCTCTGATTCCTTGTGTGTGCTGGGCGGCTGTGAGAAGAGGTTTATTTTAGGAGGAGGAGTGGATGAGTCTAAAATATCACGTTACAGCGCTGCGGTGCCGTCTTAACCCAGAAGACAAGAACTCTTAATGTTCTGTGATGGAATCAGAAACACAGATTTATTAAAGATCTTCTGGAAATATGAGAAAAAAAAAGCTGGGTCAAAAATAAACAAACAGAAACATGAATTATCAGTTTGGGTGTCGTAGAAAGCTGTGGTAATCCAGTTCCCTGAGTGGCCTCTAAACTTCTTGTGAGTGATTCTGATGGACTCCAGCTGCTGACTCCTCTGATCTAGTTTAACCAGAACCATCTGATCCACTCATTAGACTCAAACACTACAGCGGGAAAGTCTGAGGAGCTCAGCAAAGACCTGGAAAAGCAAATCACTGACTTGAACACGTCAAGAAAGTCACCTGGAGCCATTTCAGAGCAGCTTCAGATCCCAGAACCATCAGTGTGTCAGCATAAAGTTCATGGTCCAGTTGTGTTACTGCCACCATCAGGAAGGAAACACAACCTATCAGCTGCTGCTGAGAGACGA